TTTCGAACCAGAGTAGTCGAAGGAGCAAAATGCTTCATCTCGAGCTGCTGAAGCCGCCTTTCGGCTTGCGTTGTAAATTCTGCCATCTATGGAGGACCCACAAAAATTTGCATCAGTTGGCTTGTACAACATTTGCTTGCGTACAGCATGACTAAGAACTATGGACACACATAAACTCCTAGCTCTTCAACACTATCAGGTCGAATTTGGACAATGGACAACATAGTTTAGGCCTCGACATGGCTGTGCTCTTGGTGGCCATTTGCATCTTGTCAACTTGGCCAACAAGCGCGCCCGCTCAGAAGCAGGCGTGCGAAAGCTGACGTAGGCTCCTGAAGCCTTGGTGCGAATCTCATAGTATAGCTGGGATACTTAGCTTGCCCTGTTAGGGTCATCGCAAGGTGTGAGCGCCACGTTCTGTAGCTCGCGTTGCTGATGGGAGGCAGCGTTCAAAGTCAGCGCGCAAGTTGTCAGTGGTTGGCCACAAACTCCGGCAGCGGTCGTCGGCTAAGATCCTCCGTGGTATCAAATGTAGCCGATTGGCCAGCCAGGTTCGTGTCGTTCAATGTCAATTTGGATTGCCGTGAGCTGGTTTGAAGGCGCAGTCTTTGGAGTGGATTCGAGATGTCGAAGTGGGCCAGGCTGGTTCATGCCCTGCCATTCACACCGTTGACCATTTTCCGTGGCCTGTCCCCTGATCAGGCATCGGATTTTCTTCATGTTTTGGGTCGGGCTCCTGTAAACACCGTTTGCTGGAGCAGAGAGGCTACGGAACAGAGTGGTCTTGCAGCACAATTCTAGCATGTGTTGAGATATGGTGAAGTTATGTTGCTTCTCGCGCTACGGGAGCCTGGCATGTGGAGCTCAACTTGCCAGTGCTTCTTGCAACATCCGCCGCCATGTGGGCGCACAGGACCAGACCAAAGTCTTAGTCCTATAGCTGCATTAGAATCTGAGCCAGCCGCCTTATCCTGTCCAGAGCATGACCGGGGTGACACCATCGGCAGCACGATCAGACTTCGGGCGGCAGTCGTCAGACTTCGGTCGACAGTGCTCAGATTTCGGGCGGCAATCGTCAGGCTTTGAGCGGCAGACCACAGATTTCGGACATCAGATCGCACCGGTGCCGGTAAGATCTACAGCTTTTATCAGACAGACGAGTCCCTTGGAGGCCGGAGCCATAAACGTGCCTTTGTCAGAAATTCGCACGGTGCCAGCTGTGTTGGAACGGAGAGATAAAGTCGTGCCCAGATGTACTGACAAAGTAGACTGTTCCGCGTTCGGCCGCACGCTTGCCCATAGCGGCAACGGGTACGGCTTTCAGTCTTAAGAGCAAGCCTCAGAAGCACCCCGAAGAAGAGGTTCTTGCACGACCGAGGACTTGGAGGACTATCTCTTCGCCCCGCGTGCACCAGAGCCTGAAAAAGCATCCAAGTCTGATGCAGAGGCTCCAACTTCATCGGAAGAATCCACCTCTGAGGAATCTGGGGATGGGGACTCCATCAGTCTGTGGACATGGCGCACCTGCGGCTTGCCACTTGGCGGCTTCTTTCTTGCCTTCCTGAACGCCACCGTGATGGGTGTTTCTTATGGGTTCTTCCTCGGCTACATGGGATTGGACTCAAACGTCATGATGTCTGTCACCGCCCTCATGAAGCTTCCACAAGTGCTGCTTCTTCCCTTCGGAATGATGAACGACTGCCTGCCCATCTGTGGTCAGAACAGGAAACCTTATTTCCTGGCGTCGTGGGTGCTGTGCGGAGGGGCGCTGTTGGTCATGAGCGTATGGCCACTGCCTCCGCCCTATTACTGTCAGTTTCCTGACGGCACCTACGACACGCTGTCGCCTCCCTGCAATCCAAGCATCCACAAGGAGAAGAATTGGTACGTCTTCCCCATGTTCATTCTTGTCGCGGGTGTTCAGATGGGCTGTGTGGCTGGAGAGGGCTTGCTGTTGGAATACTCGCAGCGAGAGCCTCTGATGAAGCGCGGGAAGATGAAGGCAGAGTTCACCATAGTCACGATGGCAGGCGCGCTTGCTTCCTCTGTCGTCATTGCCTTCTTCATGAACGGCAAGGAGTACTTGGGCACCTTCGACTGGAGTTTGTCTCTCAATGGCCTGATGACGCTCTGCTTTTGCATCTCTGCTGTGCTCCTCGTAGTCTGTGCCTGCTGCACTCACGAGCCCCGCAAGGTGGAGCGCCCGACGTTAAAGGCGCATTTGGAGTCCTCATGGAAGCTTGCTTGCACCATAGGCAGGCTCAGGGCTTAGGGCTTAGGGTCACAAAGCCTTCGTGAAGTGTCGCTGGGCTTCGTGCTCCAGCTGAGGCACCTGGTCAAAAGCAAGTGCCTCTCCAGCGTACTCTTGTTCGCCTTCATCAGCCAGTTCTTCTCCGGCATTACAACCACTGCAGGGCCCATGGTCCGCTACCAGTGGGTCCAGGTGAAGGTCTTGCAGCAGCAGCTGTTCCAGATGAGCGGCATGTTCGTGATGATGTTGGCCACGGCGGCGTACAAGGTGTACTTCCTCCAGTCTTGTTGGCGGAGGGCAATCCTCATCGCGATTGTGACGGTCACAATCACTGACGCCATCCCAACCTTCTTGGCCGTCTTCGATGTGGTTCGTGACCAGTACTTCTACCTTGGCGAGGAGGTCGTGGCGGCTGTGCCCACAACAGCTCTGGCCCTGGTCCTGAACCTGATGGTCATCGAACTCTCGGAACCTGGACAGGAAGGCTTGTGCTATGGTCTCATCGGAACGGTTATGCACTCCAGCCAGCCTGTGTCCACTGCCGTGAGTAATCAAATCTCCAGCCTCTTCACCCCATCCTTGTCGAAGCCGGAGAATTATGCTGCGGACTTGCCTAGCTTTCGAACTACGGTCGCATGGTCTTACGTGCTGACCTACACGGCCTCTATGCTCGGTGCATGTGCGCTTCCTTTGATCCCACGCCAGAAGGCAGATGCCCAGAGGCGAAAGAGGGACTGGAAGTCTAGTGCAGTAATGACAGGGCTCGTCTTGGGCGTCCCGGCAGTGTGCCTTCCCTATGGTGTTCTTGTGATACTTCTGACCAGCCAACCGGAGACGGCCTGCTTGCGGTGGGTCGGCGGCCAAGGCTGCGAAGCTCATGGATGACACGAACTGCTGATGTCGTCCAGAGTCTAATGAGTCAGTGAGTAGTGTCTGTGCCGGCAAAACTTTTTTAACCCGCCGGCAAAGTGTAAAGCCCAACGACCATAGTTCGGCGCAGGCGCCAGAGCGCAGCACAGTACGCGATTGTACCGTGGACTTGCATGTTAAACTGTGACCGTCCGACATTGCCTCCCAACCGAAGGAAGCGACTGTTTCAAGGACTTTTAAAGGCAAAGTGCTGCGTCTCAATGGGGCTCGAAGTTGCACGGCCAGGTCACATGTATAGTCACCTTCTGTCTGCAATTCTCCAGGTGACCTGCAAAGTCGCAGGCGCAGTCAAGTTGTGCCTTCGTGGCGTGATCCACCGGACCGTAGTTGTGTGTTCCTCACCATGCTTCGCGATGTACAACCCAATTGTGCGAGTGGTGGCCACAAGTCGCAAACTTGTCATTATCGACATCGTAAAGATTTCAGTGTGAAGAGATCCTGTTTGAATTTGATCGTTGCAGTAAACCGCCGTGCTCTTTGAGTGAAAAAACACCGGCCTTTCTGCCTGAGCTGCGGTGTCCGGGGAGGGCCTGTGGACTGGGGGGAATCTTGCTAGTCCCAGGCAACTCCAGCCTGCAGGGTGGCGGCCTAGCAGCAGCTGAGGCTTGGACATTCCTTGGGCGTGGATCATAGTTAGGCCAGGCTTCGTCTTAGCACCTTTTGCAGGCTTTGTTGACCTCCAGCTCGGCTCGTACCTACCACGAGCTGCTGGTGTCCAACTCCTACTGCAGCTGGGCGGCATGGAAGGGGATCAGTGTGCTTGAAAGCCGTTTGAATGCCAGTGAAAATTTCGGTCCCTGCTAAGATTCTCCTCGCATAGAGTCCTTGCGATCGCTCGAACGGACAGACAGGCCTGTGCTTGTCCACTCACGATGCTCGGTCACTTCTTTTCAGTGCAGGAACCTCTACGGCCCAAGACTCAGAAACGGCCTTTTGTGTGCTTCTGCGTGCTTCGTCACCTGGGGGGCAGTTGTGCGAAGGCAAGGAGTGCACTGCTGGCGCCTGGGCGCTCTTGTGGACCGGGCCACGGCTTCCCTTTGCCAGACCTGTTCTCTGTGTTGTCTTCTCTCCGTTTCGGAGTGGTCACTGCCGGTCGAGGCCAGGCGGCTCCGGGTCCCCGGCTGCGGCATGCGATGCCGGCCTCCCACAGCTGGAGTGCCAGTACTGGTTCCGAGACGGAGGGAGCATGAGGACTGCCTCTCTCTCTCTCTCTTTCCGCCTCCTCCTCCTCCTTTTCGATGCTACTTCGCATGCGGCAGTGCGGCGGAAAGCCTCTCGAAAGTGGAAACACCAGTTAAGGCTGAGACCCTGCGCAAAGCCCTCCGGGCGGCCGGCACTTCAGGTCACAGAGATGATTGATTCATTGCTCGGTTGCGAAGTTGGGGAATCCTCGTTTGGAGGTTTGGCGACCGGTTTCGCAGCAAGCCGCTCCGCAGCTGCAAAGGGTGTCGGAAAACGTTGCCCCACCCTTCGCCCCGTCCCTTCAGAGGCCTGGACCTGCAGCTTCGCAGTGGCACCGCGGTGGGGAGACCAAGTTCTCCGAGCTCTGTCCCACAGTTTCCGGCTGCAGGGTGTGGCCGTGCTCTACGGGGCCGTGAGCGCGCCGGGCCTGCTCAGCCTGGCGCCTTTGCTCCGAGAGGCACACCCTCGGCCCTGCTCGCGATGCGCCCCTGCTCTGCTCGGCTCTGCTCTGCTCTGGTCTCGCCTGTCTCGCAGCTGCTGAAGCTTGTTCAGAACCCATAGGCCACCCCAGGGTTCCTCAGAAAAGCGAAGGACTCTGCTTCCAGTGAGACTGGCACTTGCGTGCTGTACTAGTAGCATGGAGCGCCAAGGGCCAGTGTTGCTGGCGCGGACACGCGGCGGGCGCAATTGGCACGCTGCATCGCATTTTCGATCCGGACGACCTTTGCCGTACTCTGTTGAGACGGGCGCCCATGGATCAAAGTTGCGGGCGAGCAGTGGCCTGTGTGCCACTATGATCGCTGCTATCTGCGGCCGACTTGGGCGAGTCGGAGTGGTCCTTCGCTCCGGGAAGGAGAAGGAGATGCAGGGCCGCGCGTCATACGAGTCGTATGAGTACCCGGCCCTCGTGCTGACTTCTGCCCTCGGGGCTGTCGGGGCCCTCGGCGGGCCTTCCAGACCGAAAGGACCTGCCAGTCTTGTGGATGCCGAGGTCCTTTTCCCTTGGCTGTTGGAGGCCTGCCGCAGCGGCGCAGCGCCCGGACTTGCTGGGGCAGGAGGCTTTCGTGCTACTCGTAGAGCATCATACCACGGTGTGAGTGAACATGCTCTGAACAAGAAGTACAGTTTTGCCATGTGCAACGGTTGTGGGGACAGCTCACTTGCACTCCTGCTGTTGCTGCCCCTGGAACAGCGACAGTTCCGTGCATTCTCCTCGTGGTCTCCAAGCGGATCTTCCTCTACGTCCTGGTCCTTGCCTGGAAAGACGTCTATTGGTTGTCTTCGTCTTCCAGCGGTAGTTCGCATGGTCTCAGGCCTTCTGGGGCGTCTTCGTGGCGGCCCGACGATCAGTGGTCGCCCTAATCCTCGGCTGTCCTCGTCTGCGGGTGCCTGTCGGCCGTTTGGCCTCCTCTTGTGAGGTGCTGCTGCCTGCCTCGCTCGGGGAGCGGCTGGTGACGCTGACGGCGGAGCTGCTGGGCCTGGGCCCGGAGTTGCCACCCGAGCTCAGGAGCCGAAACGGTAAGGGAATCGCCGTAGCTTGTCCGGCCTGCGCGGCTCATTTTTAGGAATCGCAGAGAAATCCTGACCTTCAACATGTTCAGAGTGCAGCGGTCGTCGAATGAACTGTTCGCGAAGAGGCAGGAAGCTGATGAGCTCGAGCAGGAGCTGGACGGCCTCAGTGACACGCAGCAGGCTCCCGTCTCGGGATGTAACATAAAGGTGTCGGCCTGACTTCTGCAAGATGAAGACTTGCCGGGCCTTCGGTGAAACATCGAAGCAAAGACTGCGAAAGCCTCTGCTCGGCTCGGATTTGATCGAAGCTGCGGCCTCCAAACCTGCAGAGGCTCTGGGCCTCCCGCTCCTGCTCGGTGCCTTCCTTAGAATTCGTTTCGAGAAGTGCATATGCAACCATGATGAGAAGTGACGAGCCATATCATTAGTGTCGAGAAAGAACGTCGTCAGGATAGTCGTGGCAAGAATGTCAGTAGTTGGTGCATAGACAGTTTGGAGTCATGCAACCAACGCAGCCAGAAGAGCGGCTCCTGATTGATGCAAATCAGCAGGGAGCATCCCGTAAACTCAAGCATGCAGAACTAGCTCAACTACTTGCATTGGTGCTTGCATCAGAGTATATCGCAGAGTCAATGCAGGTCACACACATACCGACTTTCTAAGCCCAGCCCCGACCCCCGACCTCGACCCCAACCCGACCCGACCCCGACCCCGACCCATAAGACGTCAGCCAGCCACAGCCAGCCTCAACCTTTTTCCTCACCATGCTTGGATCTCCGACGGCCTCGTGGGTCGTCGCCCAGCGCTCGCGCGGATGTGGCGGGTTCCTGGCCGTCATCTGCGTGGCCCTTGCGGCGCTGGCGCTGACCGTCTGTGTGATGCCTCTCGACTACACTCCAGAGGCTGTGCAGCCTGCAATCGTGTTCGTACATGATCACTCGTGAGGACGTTTGTGGATTCCTCTGGTTCGGGTCCAGACCCACCGCCTGCACCAGCGCCACCTCCATCGCCTGTTCCAGTTTACATGCCGGAATGCACAGCGCATGTGTCCAGACTCAAGCTATACAGTTTGTCGAAGGGAGACAGGGACTGCACATGCTCCTATCACAAGTCGGGTTGTCCCATCTACTATGAAGTACTCTTACACGTCGTGCATCGCATGCTGTTTCTTTGCGTATGCGATTCCTGGATTACGTTTGTTTCCGGATTGCATATGCATAGATATTCCAGCAGAGTGCGCAAGGAGAAGTGCTCTGACTCCGGTCTCACGGGCAACTGCTGCCCAACTCCCGAAGGGGTGCTACTTGAGTGCTGAGTCTTGGCTCAACTAAACTGTGCCCGACCTCTACTCGGTCACTTGCGACCTTCCAACCATGGATTGATGTCAGGAAGCTCGTGATCAAATTCGTTGCCAGCTGTCCAAAGTGTCTGGTCTCAGGTAGACCAATCCCGTCAAATGTTGCTCTAGATCCGTTCCACAGCATGCTGCTCAGCCGCACTTGCGCGCAGCCCACGAAGGGCTCTATGGTCTAGGGATTGCTGTCGTTGAAGCAATAATGGCTGGGATTGCCATGTTGGGTCTGCAACGTCCGCAGTTCCCGGTTCCAGGTGCTATGCACCAACTCCTGCAAAGAATCTCACACATCTTCCTACAGACGATTACATGGCTCAGTGGGCCCGGCCACTCTGGGGCACCCCAGGGCGGGATGATTTGAGCGCGATTCGCGCCATGTGCCTCGCCAGGGTCCTGCTTTTAGATGTCGTTGCAACGGTGTGGTGCCAACTCTTGGAATGCTCCCAAAGGCCCCCCTCGTGTTGTGGCCAAGGAACATAGATACGTTGCGTCTCTATGGCAACGATCCCCGCTTGAATCACAAGCACTTCCTGAACCGAGCCTATGAGCTGGGCATCAGCGTGGTGGTGGCTCCTCAGCTTGGACGTTTCTAGATAGCTTCCGGCTCACCCTTCACCCACAAGAGGGCGTCTTGGCGCTTGTCTTGGTGTGTTTGTGAAGGCGATCTCAGACTACCCATACACGCAGGACACAGCTTGCTCAGTCCCTGAGCGGTGTGACTTAGTTGTGCTGGTGACACCACATCTGCCAGGATGAAACCGGCAAATGTGCAACAGGATTGCCATACAACTGCTTCAACGAAATCAGGCCCCTTGCGCAAGCTGAGTTCGCAGTCGAGCAGCAACCGTGCCAGCAGGTCGCAGTATTCCGCCATGCTCCGGAATGGATTTGCCGAGAAAGGGCCCGATGGTCTCATGTATTACCATCCGAGCATCAAGGCCCATCAGCGGGCATCGCTCCCAGGCCTGAAGAGGAGTAGAAAGGAGCTCAACCCCTGAGGCGGTGATCCTGATCAACGAGCCGGAGTTGAAGATCACCTACGAAGGCAAAACCGCGAATGAGGCCTGGAGCGAAGGGCGCTTTGGCGAAAGCTTTTCACCTACAAGAAGAGGGCACAACATGAGAGAAGTTCAGGGGAAAGATTGAATAGTCGGAACAGTCGCAGGATTGCGTGGTCCTTTGCAAGCACCGTCAGAATATGTTCGTGTGATATTCCTTGTCGCCTCGGAGCTTATCGGTGCTCTGCCCAGCGGAGCCAGTTTGAACATGTCTGTCGCCCTGGGCAGTTGACAAAACTGCGAGACTTAACCAAAATCAGTCAATGGAGTGCGGCCGTTCCGACGGAGGACAGAAGTAAACAAACACTCTTTGCGTACCCCAAGCCCGGAAGCTTCGCAAAGCCCAGGTATTATGCCAAGGCCCTCCTCTCTGCGATGGACGGCGCTCTGGCTGCCGAAGAGGCCACCGGAGTTTCGAGGGGAAAGCTGGGAAGAGACACTTCTCCCACAGAACCCTGAGCCCCCAAGCTTTGGAACGGCTTCCACGCTTCAAAGCTTCACCTCAAAGCCTCATCCTGCAAGTTTCCGGAGGACATGCGCCTCCATGGACGCCTGCCGCCCTTCACTGTCGCCCTCTGGATGCAATTCATGCCATTCTTGGGTCCCCTAGGGCCCTAGCAGTTAGGTGGAGGTGCCGGTGGATAGGTGGTGGATAGTGGGTGGGTGCTGTGCCCTGCCTATCTTTCCCATCGACTTTGCGCTCCGATCCCCAGCGGGAGGAAGACACTGAGGTCCACTCGTTTGCCACCTGCCCGACCTGCAAGTCCAACGTTGCAGGTTGGGCGGTGTGTCCTTGTGCTGATACAGGTGTCACGAAATCTTGAGAGACATATACAATTTGAAGAATGCTAAAAGGCTTTCCAGAGGTATGGGTCGAGGCTGGAACAATCCGACCGATTGCGCCGTCAGGCAACAAAGCTGGAGAGGCCTGTGGGGTTTCAGAGTCCATGTGAGGATGTCACGTGCAGTCTGCGCTTTGTCCTCGCCTTGAAAGGTGCAGGTCGGGACGCTTGCGTCTCTGGGCTTTATGTATGACTTCGTGGTGGCAGGGCTTGGGGAAAGTGGGCGATCGTGGTGATGATTGCGTTGCGGGTGCTCGTGTTTCTTGTTGGGATGTGTGGGTCGGTCCCGGCAGGGAATGCTCTCGCCAAGCGTGTACAACTATGCCCCACACCATGACCTGCGGGCTGCATTGCAGCACCGTTTCCTGCTGGGCTTTAACACGCAAGACATCACAGAGCCCCGGCACGAGGGCCAAGAAAGCCAGCTGCCCTGGCTGCATGCTTGCATGTGCCACTGGATCTAAGGATACGATCTGCGAGCAGGTGCTGCAGCCTTTAAAAAGCACGCCACTTTCGGGTATGCCGATTTGGGCTGGCGAGTACAAGGCAGGGCTCAGTGGTTTTGTGTGCCCTACTGAAGCAGAAACGCAGATACGTTGTGAGTGCGATACTGTGCATGTTTCTGCACTCTTGCAAGAAGGCCTGGTACCAGTCAGAGAAGAAGAACCCGATAAGCGACTTCCAATCCGACTATGGGAAAATTGCCTCGTGGGTTGGCTCCAGCAGTTGCGGTGGTGCTGGTGCCAAATTGACAGGCGCCCTATGTGGGTCTCCGCCTAACCTTCGCAAGATCTGTGCTCGTCTCCAGGCGTCTCCATTTTCGAGTTCCAGGTCTCGTACTTCAAGGGTACCAAGGACCATCAGATGGACTTCGGTATCTATGAGCTCGGGAAGAAGCAGAGCCACAAGCAAAGTTAGTCAGCATGACCTTGACATCTTGTCGTTTTCTATCTCACATTGGAGAGGCTCTTGGAGTTTCGCCAAGGATAGCAACAACCCCGAAAACTGAAGAGACAAGCTGGGAGCAGTATCCCGTCTGGTGCCTGCACAAGAAGCGTCCCTTGATTCAACATGCCTTCTTCCGGTTGATCACATGCCAGCAAAGTTCAGACGTCTGCATCAGCTCGTGGGTGGGATGTGCCTGCGGCTTGCCACGAAGCTGCCAGCAAAGGCAACAACGCCGGCGACAGCTGGGTCGATGCAGTGGCAAAGGCTGCTGAAAGCGTGGGGAATTTGTCGTAAAACCCCGAACTTGATCCTTGAACCCTAAACCAAAACCCTCGACCCCCATGGGTCCTTTTGTCCAGGTCTTGGGTGGCACGGCCCTGAGTGACTCGGACTGCTCAGACAAAGAGCTGACCTTTCAGGCCTTGGCGTGACAGCCAGGGAGGGCGAAGTCTCCACGGTCTGTTCCGCTAGTGAACCAAAGTGGACGACATGTGTTGCCGTCAGAACGAAATCAGAAGCAGTAGCCATGTGATGTCGTTCATGCCTGCAGCAAAGCGAAGCCACTCTTCCAGACTTATGACGCTTGGTCTTACAGCCTGACAGCGGCGAAGCCGCTTGACGCCTGTGCATTGCCGCGCTGCGGAGGTCTGTTATCGTAGCTTTGGCCCAGTGTGATGAGATGCTGGGCCGACTGTACAAATCGATAGTGCACTCTCGCCTCACAGGGCACATCTGCATAGCATACAGGTGCAGAGCAGAACCATCATTTTGCCACCTTAAAGAAGGAAGCCGATGTCAGCCACCGCCTTTCTGAGTCTACGCCATGCCTTGAGTGCTTCGTCCAACCCCGTCCTCGAACTAACGCAGATGCTCTCCTCTGACTCCGAGAGACAGAACCCAACCACCACAAGTCCAAAGCCTGATCCATGACCTTCGCATGACACAGGCATCACAGGCTTCTAGCTGTCACCAGAGTTTCCGAATTCCAAGACTGCCGGACTGCTGGTCCGTGGGTTTCCTCACCAGGTGTCTTGCTGGCGGGTTCTTTGGCTCTCCTGTCACTGCAGGCAGCCGCTTCTTGTCGGTTGCGGGTTGCTGGCACGTCCTGGGTGCCTGATTCTTCTGGATGCGCTTTGTGGCACTTTGGGCACTTTGTGGTTGTCTGTGGTTCTGCGCGGGGTCTCTGATAGCGCCTCGTCGCTCCGACTCTCTGGCAGGGGCAAGGCTCCGGTTCCGTGTCCCAGGCTCTGATGCTCGGCCTGGGGCCCAGGTTGTCTTCCGTGGACATGTGCGATGCATGGTCCTTAAAAGTCGCAAAAGCGATGGGCCCGTACGTCCAGTCAGAAGCTTGGAAAAAAAAGCAAAAGGACCACCGGAGTGTTTTCGGCCGGCGCAGGAACCTTGGTCTCCAACGGAGCCTTCGCCTTCCTGGCCACCAAGGCACCCTAGCACCGTGCACTCTCGCGCACTCTCGGGTGCCTCTCTGTGCGCCCATGTCGGCACCCTTCCTCGGCCCTCGGCTCGCGTCCGCTCTGACAAAAGGAGCAGCATATTCTTTGAACTGGGGCAGATCAGTTTCGGTAGGCAGTGACTGCGAAGCAAAGCCAATCAAAGTCAAAACCGATCGAGTGGCACGCCAGGCCAGGGTCAGGGGCCAGCCAAAGTCGCAGGCCCCTTGGCCCGACCCCTCGGAGCCATGGCCTCGGAAGCGCTCCGCGCGGCCTGCCACGCCGAGCACCTCGCGCTGGCGGAGGTGGGCCCTGCTCTTGCGGTGCTTCGGGGTGCGACCCGAGCTGCTGTGCAGGAGGCGGCCAAGCGCTTCGAGCCGCCGGGCGTACGGGTCTCGGCGCAGCGCTGGGAGCCTGGGATGCCCGTGCCGGAGGCCCGGCCAGGAAAGGGTTTAGGGTACGCGTGTGCAGTTCCATGCTTGCCCTTTGGCGCACAGGATGCGAAGCTCATTCACTGGGTGCGCCATGGCCAGGCCGTCGTTCCGTTTGCATCGGTTGTGGCCCACTTTGCTTCAAGACACAAGGGCTACCACAACTTGCTCGCCGAAGTCTCGCGGCAGCTTGGTGCAAGCTTCACAGATTCGGGAGACTACGAGACAGCGCACAAAGATGCCTTCAATCCCTACCTGCAGGCCTAAGACGTTGATCCTGGCAACTTAGGCACTTAGGTCGAGCCCTGTTGCGTGTGTCCAGGAGGCGATCAAAGATCCGCCGCTCACCTGCCTTGGCATAGCTGATGCCAAGGTCCTTCCGCCAAGAGCACAGTTGTGTCGTTTTGTTAAGGATTTCTAGCTTGAGATAGGATGCATGGTGAGGGTGTGTAGTAAAGAATTGAATAGGCTTTCCGGGTTTCCTACGTAGGGTAACTAGGGTATCTTAAGCTGAGTTCCTCAACAAGAGCGGTGCTGAAGAGCCCTGCAGGCTTTGTGGCCCCTTGCAAAGCTGCTGAACCCAGAGCTCCTGGTCGTGTCGCCGCTGAAGAGGGCGTGATCGCCCTAGCCCCTTCTCTCTTTGTGATTTCGCCTTGCCACCTCATGGAGATTTGCGTCTCAGGACTCAGACCATCTTGATTGGTTTCCGAGAAGCAATTGCACGTGGCACTGCCGTGATAGCTCACGGAGGCTGTACGAGTCCCAGTTGCCCCAGTTGGAGCAAAGCAGGCTGCTGGAACTGATGGCTTCTGGGTTAGTCGTCTACTTAGGTAGAGAGCAGTGTGGCGTGAATGTCTGTGACCGACGGTCCAGCAGATCTGAGTACGCGGAGACCTTCCCTGGTGTAGACACCTCGTGCATCAAGCACGAAGAGGACCCTTGGCCTTGGCAGCTCACAAGTGTGTGTTTTGGATGGAAAGCGTTCACACTTTCAAGACACAAGCTGTGTAAAATGAGGCAATGAATCCAAAGCACCCTAGTGCCCTAGAAGACCAAACAAACTTCAGTCTTTTTGTGGCAACTTTTGCCAGCCGGTCTGCAGTATGATAGTGTATGCTGCTGTCAGGATCCAACCTCATCTAAGCGCCGGGAGACGTACTACGAAATGGCGCACAGGCGGGCTTATCTTTTGACAGTCGCAGGTCATGAGCAACAGACATACCATCATCAACTATGTCGACGCTTGGGTTTTTCCTCCGTAACGGGTAACCGGGCAAAAGCTCCAGAGAGCTTCAGACACATGCCTCGACAGCTCATCCAGGGGAGGAGGATGAGTAACCGACGCAATCACAGAGGACTCTGTAGATATGGGTAGTTGTCAAAATTATGGTCCCTTTTGGGGTACCCTAAATAATAGGTGCCGTCTTATAATAAGGACCCAAAAAGGGCCCATAATTTTGACAAGGGCTCACGACTTCATGCTCTGGCTGCGGGCACGGCCGGAGAAGGAGATCGTGGTGGGCACGCACTCGGCCCCAGAGCTGTAGAGTTTTGGGGATCTTTCGGGAGTCGGTAGTATCATTGGGGGTACCCCTTAAAGGGTACCCCTTCTGAACCCTACTTTTGGCTCTCTTAAAAGGGACCTTATTGAGAGGGTCTATATCCCCAAAGGTCCCCCTAATCCTAGCTCCCAGAGGGAGCCTTTTGGAAGTCTCGGGCTTCGGGGGCCTGGGTCTATGGCGCCATATGGCATGCCTGTAAAGGTGTGGGACCCGAGGCCTTCCTCATGGCCGTCTTTAACGTTGCTCTGGAAATTGGCGAGGACTCCATGAAGAGCTTTTTCAAGACAGGCCGCCGCCTTTGATTTAAGTTTTTTTGTGGTCATGCTGCGCGATCTCTCGCACTGCAGGTGAGATGCGATCGGTGCTGCTTCGTTTCAGTGACACTGGTGGCTCCACAAGCCGAGTCGGCGCGTGCGGGTCTTGAGAGAAGCGACGATCGGTGCCCGCCCCCTTTGGCCAGCCGAAACAGTTGCGGCGTGTTCTGCGAGGCGCATCCGGAACGGGGCTTGCCCCAGCATCCGGCTGGCCAACGGCGCCCGGGTCGCGAAGCCACACGGGTGCTTCGATGCCACTGTCCTTGGCGCCCAGGTGTACAGGTGCCCATGATCGGATACGGGACTGCCTACTTCCAGGACGGCATCCGGCGTCCGGAGCTCACCTGCCACGCCCTGCGGACGGCACTGCGGCTGGGTTACCGACACGTGGATTCTGCAGCCCCTCGGAGCAACGAAATTGAAGAGGGATCTTGGAGCTGGGAAAGGGGGTACTTCCAACATGATAACATGTTAGACGACACTATCTTTCTATGATGCTCTGTTTCGGCGAGAAAGGGACCATCACATAGACTTCCGTCAGTGCTTATCCACCACACTCAGCATTCGTTGGGGGCAAGGGCTCAACTCTCCTTCAGATCCCAGGTGATGTACGGCAATGAGCGGCAGGTTGGCGGCGTTCTCGCCGACTTCTTTGGGCAGGGCAAGCTGGCACGAGAGTCTGTCTTCTGACAAAGATGGGGGGGCTGCCAGGGCGATGAAGCCTCGTGAGAAACCTGGCTCCTTTCTGTTGTCCTGTACTGTTCGTAGGACGCTCGAAGGTATTTCTGACGACGAAAGTGGCGCACATGCCCACAGCCGACTACCCGAATGCAAAGACGCAGTACATGTACCTCGGAAGCAAGGTTGGGTCAGAGGGATCAGGCTCCCAAATCCCAAGGCCGCAGGAAAAAACTCTGACGACCTGTGCTTTTCACTGACAGTGGGAGAGTGCTAAGTTTCTGCCATCAGCTGGAGCAGAGAACATCTAGAGTCGTGCTTTGCCGAAGTCACCTCAAGAGCAAGATGCCAAGCGACTTTGGAACTTAAATACGGCGGAGCTGAGGTACAACCCCGAGCTGAATGCATACCAGGGCGTGTTGCAGGAGTTCCACCAAAGCCTCTATGACTTGGGCGTGGGATTCGTGGATCTGCTGCTGATTCACTGGCCCGGGCTCGCGGCACTCCCGAAAGACAGAGTTCCGAAGGAGCCTTGAACTCCCGAGTCTCTGTTGGACCCGGTGCGGAATCGGTTGATCGTCGAAGAAGTGTGCTTGGAGGCCAGCGCAAGCAACCTTCCCTGCAGGACGAGGTGCTGCCCACGCCCAGCCGGGAGCTGATGAGGGCGAAGCGGAAGGAGTCTCCCCGGCCTTCCCAAAGCCTCAGCCCGAAACTAGTCGACTGGGCGAGGAGATGTGGTCGGCTTTAGAGAGCATCCACGAGAGAAAGCTGGCGAGAGCGATCGGCGTCCCACAGCAGTGCAAGGAGATTCGGGGCCTTAACAACCAGAGCTGGGTTTTGAACTGCACTAATACTAAGTTTTCTATCGAGGACGCCTTGAGGAAAAGTTTCTGTAACTATTCAATGATGTTGATCTTGCACGCCGAAACGTCGAAGTGCCGGTGGCTTCTGTGCTGTGCCCCGCCCCACAGTACTCTGGCAGCTCACGCGTCTGAGATCCCAGGTGTCCAACTTCACGTTACTTGGCTTCGGCTGTGCATCGGAAGGGGGCCTGAAGGGGGGTTCCCAGGGGCCGCAGCTTTTGTCTGCAAGGAAAGAGCACCTGGCAGACTTGCTCCCCTCCTGCAAGGCCCGGCCCGGACAACCCAAGGCTTGTGGGTTTTGGGACGGGAGCGGGAAGCTGCAGGCGATGCCCATGATGAATCAGATCGAGGTTCATCCCTACCTGGTCTCTAACTCGGTTCTCGGGACGGTCGTCTTCCGTATGCCGGATGCGATGTGCTACCAAGCTTTGAGATGACACTGGTGAGGCCCAAGGGGAACTCGTCGAATACTGCCAGGGTCATGGCATTCAGGCCGGGCAGAAGCAGCAGAACGTGGCCTTTATGCACATTATGCACGGTTTACGTAGGTCCTGCGCTGCGAAGTGCCGGTGCCCTCACACCTTGCCAGGTGACAGCGTACTCTCCTCTGGCCGCTGGGCACTTGAACCTGATGCAGGCCCGCGGCCGCCCCGGCTTGGGCCGTGCTGAGATCGAAACTGTCAGGATCCCGTGATTCTGCAGATTGCCACGGAGAAGGGCATAGGACCGGTGCTTAGTGGAACTGGTCGGCTTTCCTGCGGAGAAGCATCTGCGAAGCTCGCGTCAGGACCGGGCCAGGTGGAAGCTCGGCGCAAAAGACTGCAGAATTCGAAGTTCCATGGGTCATTTTACCCTTTAGACTTTGGAGTCTCCAGTCTATAGTTAGTTGAGGACAGTGTTTGCCACAACTGCGAGCCATGGAACTCTCTCTGACGCTCCAGGTGCTATCGTGGCTGCTGCAGAGAGACGTCATTGTTATTCCGAAGTCAGCCAACGAAAAGCGCATGCTGGAAAACCTCTCCGTGTGGCTTGGCTTTAATGGTTTAGGGTTTAGGGTTTTTGGCTTTAGTCAACATGCCGCCTCCCGTCTCTTTCCCAAGCCTCACCGCCGGGTGCGCGGGCTGATAAGGTCAAAGGGCACCCTGTCAGCGGAAGACATGGCCAAGATCTCGGCATTGGACAGAGGCCACATGTGGCCATTGTATGTCATGAGGCATGGGGCGCGGCATTGGTGACTTCTCAAGTGGTGACCGGCCCTCGCAGGAATGCACACCTGTCCGGATCCAAAGACGATTGCCTGAGACCAGCCGACTGCTGCAAAGCCCTCGCTGCCGCATTGTTTAAAATGAGGGCCTTGCTGTGTCGTTTGGCGGACCTCTGCACCCGAATCCCGGCCGGCTTGCATCCCACGTGCCACTGCGCTCAGGGAGAGGTCAAGGCAGCGCTGGAGAGTTGGAGCGTGGAGGCGGGCGATGGCGGGAGTGGTACCCTCGGACACAGCCGCTTGCCAGGAGAAATCAGTCGGCATCCTGGCAACAGGTCGGACGGTCGGCATCTGATCACGAGGCTTTCAGCTCTTGTTCTCGACGCTCCAGGCTTGGCAGTTGCCGGCACCTTGGTGGCCTTCCTCCTCCCTTTGTCATGGGCCTGGCCTGTGCAGAACTGTCTGGCTCCCAACAATACCCGTGAGTCGAAGCGCAGTACTTTAACATCGGCTGCTGAGTCGTCAACTTGTGCATTGCCATCACGGCATCGCCGGGGCCTCAGACGTGTTATTCCTCGCACGCTTGGCCCTGACACCAAAGCCTGGAAGAGCAACCCTCAGCTGTGTGAGCTCATGGCTTTCCAGGCGGGCCTTGGCATTGCCGCGTTTCCAGACCATCGCACTGCTGCTTTTCGGTGTAGCAGCGTGCCCCGCTCGGTTTCAGAATCATGATTCAGTCATCCGCCCGCCATCAGCGACCAGTTGTTCCTACCAACATCCCCGGCGACGGCAGGGACTTCCTCTTCTGAATCTTCTCCATCTTGTTGTCGACGCTGCGTCGGGGTGTGCTTCGTGTCTGACGTCAGTGTTGCCGAAGGCCCAAGGACATTTCCTCATGCCACGTGCAACCTTCTGGCACTCGAGCCCCGAACTCCGCTCGATCCAGAAGTTGTGAGAAGCTTCTTGCTTCCTTCGAACCGTTTTTGAACCCTAAGCCCTCGACCCTACTACCTAAGGCTTCAAGCTACAAACGTGAGGCTTCGGTCGTCGCACCTTTTTTGCTCCTCCACCATAAGGTGTCACAAGGTGCTTCAGCTCT